AACTAGCTAGTTCTGGTTCCAATTCCGGTTCGTTTGAATTTAGGTAGGTACCCAGACCACCCACCCCTAGAGATGTCAATGTGGTTAATGTGGAACTGTTATGAACCAAGCAATTGCAAAATTACAAAAAGTTGTTAGTCGTACAATTTCCTATCCGATTCGATCTATTTAACACCTCTAGAATTACAAAAAGTTGCAGCTTTGATAAAAGCGAATTGCAAAGAGTTTTCCTGAAGCTGAAATAACATTAACGTGAAAAGTCATGGGCGGACCCGGACCAGAGTTGATCTGGGCTGGGATGTTGTTTGACCGGGCCGGGGTATGATGGTCACAGACCGAGACTAACCCTATAACGAGACCTATGGCCCAAGTAAAATTTTTTGGTGCTCCATTTCAATGTTTGGGCTTGAATGGATACGATGAACGGATGAAGGCCTTTTTTACAAGAACATGTTGTGGTCTATTACGGGCAATGTTATATATACAAACGTTTATACAAACTATTCCTTACAAAATGGTGTGACAACTAGGAGTGTTTAAGATCGGTTAACCAATTTTGTAAATCGAACCGGTTTTTCGGTTTAAGAATTATCCTGAACCAAAGCCAAACCGGTTAATGGGAAAATCAATTAGTAAAAACCGATTAACTAGTTTTGAACCGGTTTTAATTTAATATTTAATATTTTAATAATAAACCAGATTTTTATTTATTTAATATTTTTATAATAAATTGATTAGTAAAATCAACTTCGTTTAACCGGTTTCCATATTCTCCTAAACTGGTAACCGAACCGAAAATTTGGTTTTTTATTTTCTTTGAATTGAAACCGAATCAGTTTTTTAGATAACCGAAAATTCAGTTCGGTTTTTACATTTTTTTAATACCCCTAGTGGCAACCCTGCATGTTTGTTATGTAATCTTTTTTAATTATTTAATTTATTTTTAAATTTAAAGTTATCCAATCATCTTAAAACATATCCGTTTGTATGATAAAGTTTGTATATAAAGTACCATAAAAGAAAAGAAAGGGAAATAATTTTTAGTGCCCTTACTTTATCTTCTTTTTATCCCGTCTCTAAGGTATAATAGTATTTAAAAAAATTATTAACAATAAATTCTTATTCGTATTCAAAATTTTTAGGAAGAATTTATAAACATTATCATTATTTTGTTCAATAATAAAAAATCTTTTAATATCTTATGTTCTCATAATGTTGTCAGTTTTCAAAACACTTAAAAACTAATCTAAACACTTTGTTTGGTTAAGTTTTAGTTTTTTCTTGGTTATATGATTAGTTTTTCGTATAGACATGTAATTAGCAATAGTTATAAAACTAAGAAAATAAAACAAAAAAAGAAGGAAGAAACTAATAAATAACTCTTAAAAAAAAGATCAAGCTGTAGTTGTATTTGTTTATCTCAACAACCGACTCCCCTCGCAAACTCTTGATGGCAAAACTCCTTACGAGCTCCTGTTTGGTAAACAACCTGACTACTCTATGCTTCGCACCTTTGGATGTTTATGTTTTCCTTATTTGCGAGATTATGCTCCTAACAAATTATCTCCTAAATCATCTCCTTGTGTCTTTTTAGGTTATAGCCCCTTTCACAAGGCTTTTTGCTGTTTTGACAGCAAGACACAACGTCTACATGTCTCTCGACATGTCTAGTTTTATGAAACTATTTTTCCTTATGCGGGTGACGATACACAATAACTTCTCAACTCAACACCTTATATTACTTTCTCTGATTTTTTGAAGTCTAGTAATAATGTGTCTTCGGCTTCTCTGGATTTGTTGTTATCTTCTCCTCTGTTAGATTCTGTTTGTTTGCCATGTAGTGATGGTCTTGGTGAATCTTTCCCTCGAACATCTCTTGAAGTGTCTCCCGTCCCTTCTCCAAGTCAGCCCACACCGCCTGTTTCCATATTGACAACCACTATGAACACTCACTCAATGGTTACTAGACGAAAAGCTGGTATATTTAAACCTAAGGCTTATCATGCATTAGAGATCTCACCTTCCTCTCAGTTTTTTCAAGCTCTGCTTGCCCTAAAAGAGCCTCGGGGTTTCAAGTCTGCTACCAAACACCCTGAATGGCTCTCGGCTATGGATGATGAAATACAAGCTTTGAAGAAAAATGATACTTGGGATCTTGTACCTCGCCCTCGAAACCATAATGTGGTTGGTTGTCATTGGATCTTTAAGACCAAACTTCATGCTGATGGTTCCATTGAATGCCATAAGGCTCGCCTTGTGGCCAAGGGCTACTCTCAGATTCATGGACTTGATTTTGAAGATACGTTCAGTCCTGTGGTATGCCCTGCTACTGTTCGGATTATTCTATCCATTGTTGGATGGCCCTTACATCAATTAGATGTTATGCCTTTCTTCATGGTCACATTTCTGAAGAAGTATACATGGATCAACCACTTGGCTACACGATCCACAATTTCCTCAACATGTGTGCCGTTTGAAGCGTGCTCTTTATGAACTAAAACAAGCCCCTCGTGCTTGATTCCAACGCTTCGGCTCTTTTTTGCAGAAACTTGGTTTTCGTCTCAGTTAGGTTGACTCTTTTCTATTTGTTCATCACACCACGATAGGCACAGTTTATCTCTTACTCTATGTTGATGACATGGTGCTTATTGGCAACAATCCTACTTTGATCAAGACTCTTATTTCACGGTTGTCCACCGAATTTGCTATGAAAGATTTGGGTTCTCTACACTATTTCCTTGGTTTCGAAGTTCAACCTAATTTTCAAGGCTTATTTCTTAGCCAAACCAAGTATGCTCTTGATCTACTACAGTGTTTTGACATGGTTGATGCCAAACCCATTACCACTCCCTTTGTAGTTGGACACCATCTCTCTACCGAAGGGAAGCTCTTCTCGAATCCCACCCTTTTCCGGTCTCTTGCTGGAGCTCTACAATATTTGACAATTACTCGGCCTGATCTCTCATTTAGTGTCAATTCCATTTGCTAGTACATGTATGCTCCAACTGAAGATCACTTTCGCGCACTCAAACACATATTGCGTTATGTTAAAGGCACGGTCCATCATGGTCTACAACTCCACTGCACCTCCTCCCGTGAGTTGCTTGCTTATTCTGATGCTGATTGGGTGGGTTGTCCTGATACACGTCGGTCTACCATCGGCTATGTTATCTTCATAGGTGCCAATCTTGTTTCTTGGTGCTCCAAGAAATAATCCACTGTTTCTCACTCCAGTGCCGAAGCTGAGTATAGATCCTTAGCCTTTGCTACCGGACCGCTGAAGTTGCTTGGATTACTCAGCTACTCCGTGATCTACATCTTCAAATGCCTTCTCCTCCAAAAATATTATGCGATAACAAGAGTGCTATTTTTATGGCAGTTGATCTTGTCACTTGACCTCGCTCTAAACATATTGCAATTGACTACCATTTTGTTCTTGAATTAATTGCCAATGGTTCTCTAAAAGTCGCAGTTGTTCCCTCACATCTTCAGCTTGCTGATTCATTAACCAAGGGAGTCACCAAGCCTCAGTTTCTACTTTTTCGTAACAAACTTTACGTGATTCCTTCTTCCACGCTCAGCTTGAAGGGGGGTGATAAGGAAGAATCCTCTTCGGATTCTTTCTTTGATCTTAGATGATTTTATCTTGTACTTATCTTTTCTTACTTAGTTTATAGGATAATCTCAACTGCATATATTATGTTAATATGTTTCCTTTTATATAGGACTTTCCTATTCCTATTGTAGACACATTCTATATAATGAAACCAATAACCTCAATATTCTTTAGGATTTCAGCCACACTACACACGGGGTCTTTGAACATTTATAATATGATAAAGGGCAATATTAAATAATTTTAATTAAATTTTTTTGTTTTTTTAGGTAACTACAAATATAAAACTCTGAAATAAAATATACAATTTTTTATTATAATTTCCCTATGAGAGACCAGGCCAATAAATTATCGTAGACTTGTTATAACCTTCAGGTGAAATTAATTGCAGCCATCACTACTCCGTGCCTTTTTACCAAAAATTTGTACTCACCATCTTGACCTGATGATGACCCTTCCTAAAATTTTGACTGGAGACAGATTTGGAGCCACTTTTATAGCTATAATCCATCATGAATATTAATTATTAGATATCATGGCGCTTTCAATGCTATATTAGCTTCCTTGACCATAAATTTTACTTCGTCAAGAGTAATTCAACAGTCATGTTGTCTTCTTTCGGTGAGAATATAAACTCCAGAATCTATGGGCATTTTTGTTTCACCCTTTCCATTGATTTTTATGTTATCCGGATTAAAAAACAGAATATATGCTTTTTTAATTATTAGGTTATTTCATTTAAAAAATTAATCCAATTTAAATAAGGTTCAAATATGATTTTTTTGTCTAAAGTTGGAAAAATGGGTAAGACTTGTATTATATTATCTTATTTTATTTAATCCAAAACATTTGATCAAAACATTTTACGATAAAATTTATAAATTAATAAAAATACCCTCACTCACCCAAGCTCTTACCGATTGCCAACAAACATCGTTGGTCACTGCTGTTGTCACTGGAATGACGTACGATCGACTGGATCTAACTGGTCGTGCACCAATTTGATCATTAATGATGACCAGATTCTGACAATAGATTTGGTCGTTTTCGGCCAGACCCAATTGATCGTGCACCATCATGGCGATTGCCAGCCATTCTACAGTATCCCATTTGATTTAATCCTATCTTATCCTATCCTATTCAGATAATATTTTAAAACAACATTTTTCAAAAAACCTACAAAATAGGCCCAACTGTTTGTGACCCTTTTTCTTTTCAGGTTCCAGTGTGCTCTTCTTGTATAAAAATGGAGCTTCCAATTGGAGAGAATAGAAAAAGGGAACTTGGTTTTGACAGAAACTGGAAGAAAATTCAGATTAATTGATAAACTTGTGTTGAAATGCAGAGCAGAACACCAAAACTAGTACAAGAACTGATGGACATATTGACAAAATGAGAATATGTAAGTTGTTCAATACATTTATCAAGAATATTACATGTAGTAGTATATTTAACACAAACAACATCGTTCTATAATTTTACCTATATGACACTCAAAAATTTAACAGTAGCATCAATGAAGTTAAAGAACAAAAAAGAAAAAATAATCATGAATACAATGGAGAATATGATCTATCAATGACTAAACTGAACACATAATACACAAAATGCAACTGAAAAACCATCAAAGAGTGTGCAAGTCAATGCATCAAATCGCCCTGGAAAAGGCTCATTTGTAGGCTCCCATGCCGACACCGGTTTCGCCTCCATATGACTGGAAGCTCTCCCTGGCCCTGGAATAGCAAACATAGTAGAATTCGGAGACTATGGCAGTGAAGAAAACGAAGGCGGCGCCTGCCCCGAAAACTCCTTTTCTCAAGGTCTGGCAAGAGGGAGGGTTCTCACTGAAAATGGTTCTGTACTTGGTGTGATAAGCATTCCTCACTGAACCCGCCAACAAGCATATCTCAGCTATCAGGAAAAACACCCTGTAAAAGATTATTGCAAACAAACAATCAATCAACAATCAAATGTATTTGGATCAATTGCATAATCAAATCTTCTGAATTTCTGATGTAATATACCAGCATATTATGAAAAGGATGATTGCCCAAGCCCTTGAACCGCTCGGGCTTAAAGCTTTTCCGCAGCAGAAGCATCGACTGGCCACCATTATAAGGACTTGGCTGACCATGAGGAAAAAAAATGCACCAACACCTAACCCAGTTGAAATGTCTGAGTCATAGACACAGTAGTTATAATTCACTTCATTATCCTGCCTGATTGTTGCCTGTAATTAAACATATCATAATTTTGTTACATCCTTTGCAGATAATCACTTATGCAGCTGATATTAATCAAAATTATTAGGCTCAAATTAATTGCATCTTTCACAAAAGGATCTGAATTAAGGAAATAATTTCCTCCGCACACAAATAACTAAAAGCCCTATATTAAATGAGAGAGTAATGAAAACAGAGAGATCTGATAGATTTCCTTGAACAAATGAGCCAACAATATTACTTTTTCCCAGTAGATCTGACAATTTTTATCCCAAATATAACCAACAAAATAATTTACTCAAAAAAAAAAAAAAAAAAAAAACAAACAAACAAATGAAGCAGACCCCATAATTCAGTCTTTTATAAGGAAACACAAAATATAAAGCTTTGGTTAAGAAACTCACAGTGCTTCTCCTTCGCTCAGCGGCAACAGCCAAACCAAAAGCAATGAGATCAAACACAAAGACTGTGATCAAGATGAGCTTTGAAGCCATTGCTATGGATGAAATGTAGCACTGCAAAAATGCTAAACAAGATCTACCTCTTCTTCACACTTTGTTTCTCAAGTCTCTCTCTTTCTAAATATACAACAACGCTTACAGTGTTGAAGAAGAAATCACAAACCAGAAAAATATGCAGAAATAATAAATAATAAAATAAGAATGGTATGTATTCACCTAAAGATAAAGACAATATACCAGCTCATTGACATGAGTATTTCAACTGCTATAAGAAAATCCTTAAATGCCCTTCTTCTTCACATAATATTCTTTGCTTTTTCATGGCTGTTACACTGTTACAGGTAAATTTAGATATATAAATTTTATACAAAAATATCACTTGAATCAAATTATTTCATAAATATATATTTTAGATAAAAAAAAAAAAGTATTTTGTGTAATTTCTATAATTTTTTAACCAAAAAAATTGATTTTCTAAAATAAGAAATATATATAGTTTTGTAAAATTATCTTTAAGAGTAAAAAAAATAAAATACACTCTCCTAGATTTCATATAATAACAAAAAAAATTGTTGAGATTTTTGAAATAACAAAAATTTCCACATTCTTAGTAAATTGTTAGTAAAACATTAGAATTTATATTACTAGAAGTTAATAAATATTTATAAAATTGTTCTTTTACCTTTTATTTTAACACCTAAAATTTAATAGCAAGGGGATTTTTGTTATTATAGAAACTATTTGGGTCTTTAATCAAATTAAACTTCAGGAGGAAAATTTATTAACTCTATCTTATGACAATAAGTTCCAAAAAAATAGTTTTTTAAAAAACGTTAAAATAATCGGAAAAAATGAAAGTACAAACTGTCAGAATTAGAAGCTTCGAAAAATAGCACAGGGTACAATCACTCAGAGCACAAGGCACAATCACTCAGAGCACAAGGCACAAGTATGTTTAGCACTGTTGTTTGCTGAAAATAGAAGTTAGTTAGAAGGGTAAAATCGAGATTTTGCCTTTTTCTTGATGTGATTGATGGATTGTCGGTGACGGTGAGGAGAATTGGATGCTTACATTTTACAAAAAGGGGGCCAGCTTTTTCACGTTGAGAGGTAACTGGTAGATCCAACGGCTGATGTTACGTTTTACTCTGATGCGTGAAACGGACGATTCAGAAGCGTGGAGCACAGCATGTGGGACCTTGCTTTCGGTGGTAGTTGTCTGTCCTTGTCTTTGGGCTTCTGATATGATTTGGCGTTGCAGTACAGACTGTGTACAGTTCATCGTGTGCCACAGATTCTTGCCACGTGTGTTTAGTACATGGATGTGGGGTCCGGAACATTGATCGTTGACTAGCTTTCCCTTCTGGTCAAAATCTTGTAAGGAATGGCGATTAGCATTAGATACCGAATATCTGGCCACCAAAATGCTTCAAAATCATTCGATTTTTTTTTTTTTTTTTTTTTTGAAATTTAAAAACCATCCAATTCCGAAATTATAAAAAATTGTAATCCTCGGTATCTTAATAGATGATTTCTGCGAAAATAAATCTTCAGTAAAATGGATCCATCTACAACCATTCATCAAGGGTTTCGTCATGTCATCGCACGTGTTTGGCACATCCTCCCTCATTGGATAGTTGCAAATACATTTGTTGCATCGAATATTAGTTCTTTCTATAAGTGCAATGTTGATTGCCACCGACACTAATTAGGAAACCAACCCGACCTAATTAGTTTAACTGGTTAGATCTAGACTTGGGGCCTTCACCGGTTTAACCGGCAAAGGTAGAAAACCGACCCTCAAAATTACAAACATCCCCACTCCTTCCGCTCAACCCCTCTCACATTCTAGGACTTTCTCCCTCATTCCGGTGGAATCCGGTGCCTAAAATCACACTTGAACCCTCTATTGGCCTCACTGGCTTCTCCCCACTAAAAACCCCAACACCGACCTTGATTGCTCACCGATCGTCGTCAGGCATCAGCCACCCTTAGGGTTTCGCGATTTTACTTTTTTCGGGTTGTTCCTAGTGCCAAAAATCACCCCAATCCCTCCATTTGCCTCACCGATATCTCCCCACAAAAACCCCCAACATCCCAAGTCCGATTGGCCACTGATCGTCAGCTGTCTATAAGGGTGTTTTTGTTGGATTTCAAACCTGAAGAGACTGATGTGTATTTATCAAGGGTGTGTTTGTTATATTTTAAACCTACTGGATTGATAGTTTAATCATCGGTCAAACTGGTTAGACCGGTCAAATTGTGACCCGATCCCCTGGTCGGGTTGTTACATGGGCTGGGTTCCTAATAATTGGCCACCAACATTTTTGATATTGGCTGGGAGAGGTACAGAGAAATTGTGCTATATTTTCTTTAATCCAATTCAAAGAATGTTAAGGTAGTGCATTTTCGTCTTGCTCAATTTTCTTTACAGGAAACTTTTCAGCAGTCTGATAAATATGTGAATGAGTTTGATATCAGATGATGCGAAGCTGAATTCGATGGATGAAATAGCTGAAGAACACAGCCTTCGGATCTTGAACAAAATTTAAGCCCCAAGTGAAGTGCAAAACAAACATTGGTTCAAACTGTTTCAATATCAAATGGTACTAATGGTTCCAGCATTTGTAACAGTGGTAATTTGTCATTCGAAAATCGTCCCTTTCGATTGTGCGATAGGTAAGCTTGGTCACCGAAAACTTCTGGAATATGAAGATGTATAGGCTACCGTAGCTGCTTAAGCTTCTCTTATTTCATTACGGTTCAGTAGAAATTGATATTTTCATATTGAGATATTTGATATATGGTAAGATCCTAAGATGTTTAAGTTACCAAATCACTATATTGTCAACCAAAACAAAGTACAAGTTGAATTCCCCTGCCATAGAAATTAGCTAAAAATGCATTCACAGCAAAAAGTCATTACCAGCTTTCCGGAAAACAATCAGAAGTAAAAATGAAGATTACAAGTGATCTAAAAAGGACTCGGCACATATCAATGCAGATTCAAAAGGAATAACAAATAAAGTGATTACCTGTTTACACTCTCAGACTAGATACTCAAATTCCCATAAATTACATTACGATTCTCATGGCAGAAACACTCGAGGCCTTATTGTGTATGAAAGCCGTCTACATTGTTCTTGATAGTCACATGGTGGCAAAGGTTGGCAACGTATCCAATAGTTCGACTGGTTGCTCCACCTTCAGCTCTTGAGCAACCCACATTCCAAGGCAGAGGCACCATGACATGAAATGCACACACATAAGGGGCAAGCACAAAAAAAAAAAAAAAAAAAAAAAAAAAAAAGAAAGAAAACCTAGAAGTCTATGAGATCAAGCAACATAATAGTTTTTGCTTTTCCTTCCAAATAAAAGTAGTTTTCTAAACCCTTTGGCAGCTTTTGGAGAGTTGTCTTCATTGTTCCATTTCTTTCTGGAGTGATTTGGTTCTGCTATAATTTCACTAGGTGGGGGAGTTGAGATTTTTATCTCCGAAATTTCAGCAGAGCGGAAATTTTCATTTGTTCCATCACTTTCTTCAATATTTACCCTAGAAGAGTTCAAACCTTTGTCAAGTGATGCTGGTGCAGGATGCACGGTCGTTTCAGAAACGTATGCAACCTTATCTTCAGAAACTTTTGTATCTTCAGAAAGACCTGTAGGTGCCTTGGATAATTCTTCATCACTTTTTGAGCGATCCAATTGTGCAGAGGGCTTATTAATCATATTCTCATTACAATTTCTGTCATCCAAGGTACTTCTTTGTGAATTGATATCCCCTTCAATCTTCTCAGTTGAAGAAATATTGTGTAACCCCTTAATGTCTTTGCAATCGTCAATGGCACTGGTATGGTGAGTTGATTGTGTAGCTGTTGTCTCAATTGGTAATGCTGACTTGGCGTCCATGCTATCCTGCTTTTCTTGAACATCAGAGTTACGACGAGAAAGAACCTCATTTACCATTTCTTGACCATTTTTCTTATCTGAAGGTTTCACTTTCTTTGCACTTGATTTCTTATTTTCAGCTTCGGCAGTCTTCTGTGACATGGTAGTTGTAGTACCATTTGACTTCGAAATTGGCTTTTTGGGTTGATCTGGTTTTGTTGGCGTTGGTGACACCATCTGAGTTGTCCGCGCAGTTGCTAGGCGATCTATGGTGGAACTCCTGAAGACTGATTTGTGTAATTTGGCAGACTCTTTGGTTGGGGACTGAATTTCACTTTTTCCTTTCTTCTTTGAGGCTATGGAAGATTTATTTTCTGTCGGAGTTCTTTTTACTGTTGCTGAACCACCATTAGCAGCACTCCTTTCAGCAATTCTCTTCTGTCGCTGAATCAGTAACTCTTCCATTCTCTTCCTGTTCTCTTCTTCCTATTTGTAAGGAGAGGAAAACAAAGTTTATAGAAACAATTGAACATAAAGAATGAATAGAAAGAAAAGCAGGCTGGCTTTAGTTTAGTACCTTATCAAATTTACTTCTCTGAACTGCGGGTCTGTTTCCGGGAGATGGTTTCTTGCTCCTTGATATGATGTCAGTTTTGCTCTTGCCAAGAGAAGCACTTGGAAGTTTAGACCTTGCATCTTTAGTCAAAACTTTTCCTCCAGGAATTCCTCTTTTGCCAGCACCCTTACCATTAGTTTGTTTATCCCCAGCACCGGTTTCAGCATTAGAGTTATTTTCATTGGCTTTGGTTGATACAATACTATTTTCAAAATCCATTTCTGGTGTCCAAGAGGCTGCAGCCTGCTCTGCAGCTGAATCACGCCCAAGAACCATGTAAAGATCATCTGGCTCATGGTTGCCAAAAGCTTCCGACTTATCATGAGATATTTCTGGTGTCTCATTTTCATATAGAGTAGCCTCAATAATGTCTGTAACCATGCTTATATCTGACCTTACATGAGAATCAGATTGATCATTTACTAGCGGCCGAGCTTGGATCATAAAAGAGTCATCAGCTAGAACATCTTTCTTACTTTTCTCGCGGTGGAAACTGTCGCCAGCCATTGATGAAGCAAAATCCCCTTCAAAACTTGTTTGCCAGTGATTTGCTGATCTATCTGGTTGGTTGCCAGTGATCCAGTCTCCTTCCTTTTGAGTTTTGATCATAGTAGAAGCATTGGCATAATCAGATAGTGCAGCTTGTGAATAGTTCCCTGAACCCCCATTTCTATGTGAAAATAAGAACTCCTCATGTGTGCTATCTCTTCCCTTAACAACCGGACGGCCATATTCACTTGCTTCTAAGTTTCCAAAGCGAGTCTCCCCTTCACTACCTGTATTTGTCTTTGTTGCAACAAAGGAATCACTTGCAACTGCTCTTTCTTTTCTCAGCTGCTCAGATTCCATGTTGAATTCAAATGACCTTCCCGGTCTTGAGCTCTTATGTGTGGAATATTCACCCTGTATATATACAGGGTGTGGATCCATTCCATAAGAATTTGTATCATCATCTTTCATGAGAAGACTCTGAAAAGTATCCCAGTTATCATTTCTTTTAACTGCATCATTAGACCTCTTGACCCCATCTTTCTTGCGGTGGTGTGAGGATGATTTATGTTGTTTCTCCAATGAGCCAACGGCTTCCTCTACCTGCTGCTTTAGGGAATTCCCATCAATAAGTTCATCATCGTCCGAAGTTTCCTCAGCGGTGTTGCTCCTCTCTCCATCTCTATTAGAAGTGATGTAATTAATATTGCGGATAACAACCTTTCTTGAGGATTGTTTCCCATGTTTTTTCCTCAAAGAATGCTTATTTCCATTCTGGATATCTTCATTTGATTCATTCTCAGAGCTGGAATCGCTAGGCTCAGTGGATTCATCTTGTTTTGAAGTTTCCCGACTTTTACGTGAAGATTTCTTCCTATTCCTGGAAGATTTATGATTTCTTCGATCATCTACCTCCCAATCATGCGCCAGATTAGAATCTTCCGCATTTGGAGGCCACCTCATGTTCCCTGGATAATATGGTGGAGGTACCTGCATACCTGGAAAATGGTAACCTTGATACGGCGTCACTTGGTGAACCATGGGGCCTTGAAAGTTGTGCATGTACTGAGGAATATGGTTTGCCCATGACATTGGCACTTGAGCTTTTCCATCCGTGGGCAAATTATTATCTGCACAAAATATTTTATCAACTTCAAAGATAAGAAGAAGAAGAAGGTGCTTAAACCAGTTTGAACGCGTACCATTGATCGCGAATTGAAAGATCATTTGAAGACAAAATAAAAATAAACATTCATATTTCATACCATGATTTGTGTCAGACACTGATCCATCAGCTGAGCCGATCTGCTTCCCTGTAGGATCATTATCTTCACCCGCAAGAATGATTCCAGATGTTGCAATGTAAGGCAACTCTGGCTGAGAGAAGGCCTGCATCGCGGCGATTTCATCCATCCAGAGTCCATCTTCATTCTTTTTCTTGCACAAATCCATGAAATTTATGCATGCTTGCCTAGACAAAACAGGGCACACTCTTTAAAACCTCCTTGAATATGTTACAGTAGAACACTTAATTGACCAGAATAATTAGGCTTTTCTTTCAAACCTTAAACGGGAAGCTCCAAAGGCATCAGAAAAGTAAATAAGATCCTCTATACAGCCTGGTTCATATCCGGCAACCAAGGCACGGGCGTATGCCATTGCTTGCTCTTTGCAAAGTACTGCCTTCCGAGTCTCCAGAGCACGTTGAAGACGGATCCTGTTCATCGTCCACAGCTGAATAATTAATACTGTTGAGAATATAAATCCAGAAAATGAAGCATGTATTGTCACCAGATACAGCAAACTGAAAAACTAAGATATTTTACTTGGAATTTTCTTCCTGCACAGCATCGTCGGCTCCATTGAATTCGCCTTTCCACTAAAATGCAGCATCATAACAAGGGCGTCCAAAACTTCAATAGAGCTTTCAAAGAAGCATTAAAAAAACAATTTCTTTTTATATTAATGACTAACCTTAGATGAAGCAACTGTCTTTTGGAAATTTCCACCTTCATTTCCTGTCAAATATAAGTTCGTATACAGAATCACTTAGTAGGCAATGCAACAGTTTACATTTTAATTGTGTTGGAAATTCTGCATTAAGTTTCAGAGTTATTGTGCTTTAGAACTTATTAAGTTATGGCATAACAGTACATTGAAGGATGTAAAATAGCTGCAAGCATACCATCTTCATCTCCTACTGCTGCATTAGCCAATTCATTCTCAATCTGTACTATCTCTCGCTCCACCGAAACAAATCTCTCAAGAACTTCTGGTGAGCTCACAAATCTCACAAATCTGTTTAAAATACATATTATTTGTCATAATGATTATGACCCAGAATCAGAAATGCTTTTAAGTATCAATCTCACAGTGATAAATCTAGATAAGATCGAAAAATCAAGAACTTCTTTTTTTTTTTTTTTTTCCTACTATTTGCATATATCCCTTTTATGACAAGGCAACTCAAATCCAGAAACTCAATGACTTTTGTCTCGGCAAACCCACTCAACAGGATTTTTACCTTTGCACAGTGGCTTTTGTGAACCAAGAGGCATCTGAACCCACTGGACGAAGAGTGATGGAATACCCTCCTTTGGATATCTGATCTTTAGCAGATTTTAAATGTGAAAGAAACGGCTCTAGAAGTCCGGAAGCCAATTTCTCATTTGAACCACCGGCAAATATCACCAGATCACACCTTCATCGTTCCACAAATGTCCCAACAAAAAACACATCAATAAACCATTAACAGAGCAACACTCAACTATATATACTAACACCATTATTTTCTACATAATAAATGCAAGCTATACCTGGTTCTGGTGGGTGTGAGTTGGAAGAGAGCATAATCAAGACGAGTTCTTGAGTCCATTTTAGAGAGAGTTGAATGTTGAAGAAAGAGTTGGATGTAATTTTGGAAGTTCAAAGTCTCAGGTTATGCATAGTGTTTTAGTTCCAATATTCCTGCAAAAAAGTGTAAACTCTTTCTGATATTACACAGAGAGAGCGAGAGAGAGAGAATGAATGTGGCGGCAGGTGGTGATGAATCTGAGCACATGCCACATGGGAGTTTCAGAAAAATGGATTTTCATGATATTTTTCTTTTACTCATTTCTTTTACTGATGAAGGGTTCCATTTGAATGAATCTAAGGTACTTGATTTTGATGTGTGTGCTTTGAGTGAGAGATCAGATACAGAATGATTGCCTGATTGGTAATGATGTAATGTTACTTTACATTACTACTTACTGGTTATTTTATTTTATAGTTCTGTATGAAGTTAGTTGAGAGGTCAGTTCTTTTTCTGCTTTCAGTAACCTTATCATTCAAGAGAACAAACAAAGAAAGCTTTACTCTCTCTCTCTCTCTCTCAAATTTCTTGCTTTTCTCCTGGTCATTTACAGCAACGGTGGAGTGAGTAAGTGGGCAAAGAATAAATCTCAGTTTCTAATGTTGACACTCAGAACCATGTCCCATCCTACATCATCGAGATTTCAATTTATCCAATCCCAAGTGTGGGGTTAAACTTGGATTCAAATATTGGGATTACTTATCACAATAATCTTATAATTTACTTAGTTCTTTGGGTTTATAAGATGTTTAATAGATCCCGAGAATTAGTAGAGATGTGTTGACCCAGATACCTCGGTTACAAAAAAGAAAAAAGAGATCAAGTTTATAATGAGTTATGTTTAGTAGATGCATTGGCCCGGATATCTCGTTTGAACGAAAAATGTTTGTGTGAAGTTTAAAAACAAATTTATATTGGTCTAGGTCCAAAAGAGAGAAATTTTTTAGTTAATTGAACCAGAGATTTGATATCATCAAACCAGTTTTGTCATGAATATAAGATATTCTTCTATGTTAAGAGAATTAATCAAGGTCCCAATATAAATCACTACAATATTATAATATATATGATAAATAATGTTATTGATTCCTTAAAAAGTTGGAATGGAAGTGAGTTGATATGACAATTGTCAATAGGCAAGACTTACTTAGAGCTTAATTGTTGGTTTAAAAAGAGCTTTCTTCCAACAAATAAAGAGCTGGCTTGACTCGACTCTTGAGAGGCCATAGTGAATTTCCTTATAATGTACTTAGGTAGTTTCAATCTAACCACAGGTGAGGCAATTATTAGTTACACTTCAATTATTGTTTGTGGTTGTTGAATATATAGTAATGTTCATAATGTAAAAATGATACTCAACAAATCTCAAGGGATTGGTCTGACGGTTAAAAAAGTTTGCTCTTTTAATTAATTTCTTGGATTCAAACCACCTTACGGCCACCTATTACATTTGTGGCTTACCTAGAACATTAGACTTGTAGGATGTTCAATAGGTCCTGTGGATTAATTGAGATGCGCACAAGTTAGTCTATACACTCTAGTCATAACAAAAAAAAAAAAAAAAATGATACCCAATTAACTAATCTCCGAGGTCTATTGAAAATCTTACAAGCCCAAATACCTAGATAAGTCACAATGTGATAGGTGGTCCCAATATTTGAACCCAAAAAATCAAAATGAAGTAAACCTCCTTGGCCACCAAGTCAACCCCTTGATGTTAATTTTATGTAAAAATCGTTCTTCACCTCACCTCGCCTCCTCTTAATCATCAAAATCAAAATCCAGTTCTCTAACTTCAAATTTCTGTCACTTTACAATTTATATCCTTCTGGTTGAAGCAAAGCTGCATAAAAATGGATTTGTCTAGGTTACAAGGAAATCAACTTTAGCATTTTTCTTTTTCTAAATAAGAAATTGGAGTTTAGAAATTAGTGAAGGAAAGAAAGGTCTTTGTAAAATTTTACTTGCAAGTAAGATAAATAAGAATGGGGATATTTTGTGATTCTACCCTTAGGTTTAGTTAATATTCAAACTCATTGCCCTTTTCCAGGAAACCATAAAAAGCTACCCTCAAACCTTAACTTCATCAAAAGAAAGTTAATGCCCAAAGATAATTTAGTCATTTGATCCGGCATATCTTATAAAAATGAAGATAAATTAGTAAGTTTATATATATTTTAATGGACTTACTTAATGTTTAGGTGCCAGAGAAGTTTTCGGTAATTTCTTGTATTAACTAAATCTTAGGGGTACTTTTTTTTTTTTTTTTTTAAATCACTGAGGATGTCCAGACTAGCTTACATGCATTTCAACTAATTTTTCGGGGTTCTAGAACTGCCAACCGGGTAAGAGCTCTAGTTGTCAATGGTTACCCCTATTATTGCTGAGGAAACTCGAACACATGGCTCCGTTTGGTTCACATTTTTATGTTTTTGGGAAAAGTTTTTTGAAAAAAATTAAAAAAAATTAAATTGGGCGGGTATTACGATGTAGGATTTACAAATTAATAAAAAATGCCCCCTATGTTTGTTTTTTTTACAAAACACCCCTATAATAAAACATTAAAAGTTAACAAAAACACCCCCAACCCACCCATCAAATATGGACAGCTAACCACCACCGCCGGAGGGTGGCCGGAGTCGTCGTATCGGTGCATGACCGGCTGGATCTTGCCGGTCGTGGGCTGATATGGCATTTTTCGGCCAGATCCACAGTGGATCTGGTCGGCAAAGACCAGATTTACGGCTAGATCTGGCCATTGACAGTCAGATCTGGCCGCATTTGCTCGTCAACAACAGCCAAAGATACGACCATCGTTGATGGTCAACGACGACCATATGTTGGCTATCGTTGACGTCTGGTTACGGTCAAAGATCTAGCCTTTTCCGACCAGATCCACGGTGGATCTGGTCAGAAAAGGCTAGATCAGGTGCACTACCGGTAAGATCAAGCCGGTAGTGTGCCATCCTACCAGATTTTGGCCAACTTTCGGCAGTGGTGGCCGGAATCTGGTATAATGTGGGTTTATGGGTGTTTTTGCAATTTCGAAAAAAAATATTTAGAGTTATTTAATTAAATTAACAAATTTAAGGGGTTTAAAAAAAAATTGAATAATATTGGATAACATTGTGAGTTTTTGGGCATTTAACTGTTTAACTTTTTTGAGAATACTAATAATAGTATTCCCAAAAACTAACCAAACGGAGCTATATACTCTTTTACCATCATGTCATGGTGGTTTTTTAGAAAGAGGGAACCGTTGGGGTATTTTATGAAAATCTTTCAATAAAAATGTGTCGGCATGTATATATAAATATGTTCTGAATGGATAAGAAGTGTATGATGATGGTGCTGAAGAAGAATTATGAAGATTGTTATAAGCTACCTGGAATTGGTAAAGACATTTTGTCTGTAATAATGATGACCACAAACCCATAGCTGACCAGAAATTTTTCTGGGTCTGGGTCCATGTCTCTATAATCTTCTTAATTTATGAATTTGATTTGAAGTTGCAACCACTGCTATCAATTTACCTCATTGATAAGCATTCTTTTTGGTGTATCTATTGGTGCACTGCACTTTGCTATAGTTTGAAGAAAGTTTTAAATTTTAATCAGGGTGCGTTTGTTTAACATTGGGAATACTACTTTTAGTATTCCCAAAAAAGTTAAACAGTAAAATACCCAAAAATTCAGATTTTTGGGAATAATACTCCCAAAATTATTCAACTTTTTTTTAACCCCTTAAATTTGATAATTAATTAAATACCCCTAAATATTTTTTTAAATTACAAAAACACCCACTAATCCACATTACCAGATTCCGGCCACCACCACCGGAAAATGGCCGGAATCTGGTAGAATGGCGCACTAACGGCTGAATCTGGCCGGCAGTGCGCCGATCTAGCCTTTTCCGGCCAGATCCACGGTGGATCTGGCCGGAAGGCCAGATCTAAGGCCAAAGATCTGGCGGGACGACAGATCTTTGGCCGTAACACTCGGTCACGACGGCCAACAAACGGTGTCGTTGACCATCAACGACGACGTTTGTCGGCAGATCTGACGTAGATCTGGCCTTTTCCGGCCAGATCCACCGTGGATCTGGCCGGAAAAGGCCATAGCGACGCATGACCGGCAAGATCCAACCGGTCATGCGCCCATACGGCTGCTCCAACCACCTCCGATGGTGGTCGCCGGCTGGGGGTGTTTGAGGGTGGGTCAGGGGTATTTTGTTAATTTTAATGTTTATTATAGGGGGTATTTTATAAAAAAACAAACATAAGAGATTTTACTAATTTAAAATTTTACCTCGTAATACCCGCCCAATTCAACTTTTTTTAACTTTTTTTCAAAAAACTTTTCCCAAAACCCCCAAATTTTGAACCAAACGCAGCCCGATTTTTTTTTTTTTTTTTTTTTTGGTATAGTTCGAGTCCAGCCAGAGGATTAATTTTTTTTAATCATTTATCAACCAATTAATGATAATATTCTTGGTAGGTGCCATAATTATGAAAACGAGACTTATTGTGAAGTGTCACGATCTACAATAGTTAAAAATGAGTTTAATATTCAAGCTTTATATAATAAATAAATAAAACAATACTTAACTCATAACGATTGATATTTTTTTTTTTTTTTTGGGTGATCAACGCATCTTATTATAAAATTAATATGTGGTTGAGTGTGACACCCCACCTCATGAAATTAATAAAGTCTCGGACGTTGCCATTGAGGTGTCTGGTGATATCACTGTACAATGGGCCAGTCCAGCTGGCATCTTTTCATAGAGGTCCAATAGTACATGAGGTCTAGACAGGATCAAATCCAAGCTTATTTTGGACACTGCTAGTCAGCTCGCAAATAGGTCTTATCTAGACGCTGTGATCTTGTTTGTCCAATTGTAAGCTAACCAATTACTAACTACCACGTTGGGGTTATGAGAGAAAGTTTATAAGATAGGTTGTGAGCAATTTTTATTGCTAGTTAAAACTAGAGAACCTCTTTTAGGCTTTTACTGGATTTTCTTTTTCTTCTAATACAAAATTATGCAATAAATGGGTGGTTAAGTTTGGGGAGAACGACATGTCCCACCCAATGTTTGGCAAAATGACACTTTCCCACCTTTCGTAAGGTTCTATGAGTGTTTTTTGTTAATATTTAACTGAAAATACGAAAATACCTTAAATAATTTATTTCTTAATTAGTTTATTATAAATTAAAATTTAATTAAGTCAAAATCTTTGCTTGATTATTTATTAGTTTAAGTGTAAATATATCTTTTTTCCTTTATTTATTTAATTAATTAGGAATATTGTTTTTCTATATTAATTAGTAAAAATAAAAAAACATT